TAAAAACACCTAATATCAGATGTTTTTAACCGTCTTCAAATAAAGAGGAGGTATTATTTTGCTTGTAATTTTTTTATGTTTGTTACACCGGAACTCCGTTAGTTATCAACCGATTTGGAGAAATCTTTTTTTATTTAATAGGGCTTACTTCCTGGTTAGTCCCGTTTAAATTTGAAATCTAATATAATCCCTAAGGGTGGAAAATGGAAAATACAGTTTGTTGCATTCATCACGCCTCGTTACCGTCAGTAAAACATACTTTTCCAAAAGTTAGATCTACTAGAGACTATTGTTATTGCCACTGCGTCGAGTTTCACAAATCGTGGGACACTTAAGAGGGTCATATTCAGACTCGGAGGTTACTCACAGTCTAGTTGACCATTCGCCAAGTAGAACCCCACACGTACCTTATGTTGAACCTTATGTTGCTCGGTAACCACTCGCAAGACAGAAAAAAAAATTACATGGCTTAAAATATAATTGAATAGCCAATGTTTTTTTTTTACATTAAACGGACATGATCGTCTAAAGATCTCATCAATTATACAGAATTGATTAGAGAAGCATTTGAGATGTAATTTCTTATTTCGTTACCAGTTTCATTCAAATCATCGTTTATTGCTTAAAGCACACCTGTTTGCTACCATTGAGAGTTAAAGCATTCGGTTTTTATAGCTAATAGATCCTATTTATTGGACTATTATAAGATAAGTACAGTTATTTTGACCAGTATAAACTGAAAAAGACTTTAAATTCATCTGGTAAAATGCATTCGACGACAATAGAACCAAGGACATAATACGATAAAAAGCCAGATATTTTTAACCCAAGAAATCGCCAGATTCATTTTTTATAGCAAATGTTACTCATAAAATCAAAATATTTTTAGGTAGCAGGCCATGCCATATTTCATAAATTTAATCACACAAAACGATACTTTGAAGAAATTATTATATAGGGGACTTAATTTGCATAAACATTCTACTTTATTAATATTGTACTTTTATTATCAAGATTACAAGAGATAACATTATTTAATAGCTGTTTTAAAAGCTGGCTGCAAAGCTGATACACACTTACTAGGAATATATTCGTAAGCAAAGCATACCGTGTATAAACAAACTAATAAGTGTTCAGATAATCATTGATAAATAAAATAACGAGAATATAATACTGTCTCTGTCTTAATAACTCTTAACTGTACTGTTTGCATTTACAACTTTTTAAGCGTTACTTTTGTTACTTTTAATGAATTCCGAACGCTTAAGTTACAGAAGACTACCCTCTTGTTCTAGTAATCCTGACTTCTTTGTAATTTCCAACATGAGAACGTATTTTCAATTCCTACCCAAGGCATATACTTGTGTGATGAGCAAGATTCATCTATAATATGTAGGTATTAATGTAATAAATATAACATGTATCCCAAAATTAAACTCTGCATTATCTTTCCTATATATCATGGAGAGTGCCACTTGGAATTGTTCAGACTAATACCAGCCGCAACTTTCGGCAATCGTTCCACGCGGCACAATTTTCATCCCCATCACTTGGATAATGGGCACTCCACCACTGTGCGCTTTTCAAAACACTTTTTTCCCCGCACATCCAATCTGTGGAACAAGTTGTCTGCGGTATTTCCGTACCGATACGACCTGCAAACCTTCAAGAAAAGAGCGTACTCCTTCTTCAAACGCGTTTGTGACTCCTGAGTTGCAGGCGTTCATGGGCGGCGTCAGTCACTTTCCATCAGGTGACCCGTCTGATCGTTTGCCATGTGTGAGATGTGACAAGTTATTATTTTAAATATTTGCAATAGGTTCTTGCTTTAAATATAAATAATTTTACTAGAACAAAGACTGATGTTTGTAACTTACCCATTAATGTTTATTAAAATACAAAATCACGCGTTTCAGATATAGTCTTCTTTGAGTTCAGTAGGTAAGACTTGACAGTTGATTATGAATATTTTGATATGTTAAGTTTAATCTGTTTCGTCCGTGTGATGACCGATTAAGAATACCACCACTGTCACCACCCCTATTCATCCCGTGTGTGTCTTAAGAGCCGGCTTAGGTAGCAAGCTACGCAGGACAACAGCACCGCAAAGAGAAGGAAAACTTGAAACAAACCCGTCTTTCTAACGTGGTATAGTAGGCCAAAACCTCTTTTCTACGGAGAGGCCTATGTCCAACAGTGGACTGTTATAGGCTGTTGATGTGATGTGATGATGTGAATCTGTTTAGTTTCTTTAACGTCAGTATATTTCATGGAAGAAGTTTAATTATTTACAAATAGTTCCCTGCGGTGCCCCTCGCGTGTATGTAGGTTATCGCGATAAAAAAAAAACTATGGCACTCAGGGATAATATACCTTTCAAACAGTAAAATAATTTTCAAAATCGGATCAGTAATAACGGAGATGACCCCGAACATCCAAACCACAAACTTTACCTAGTATAGACAGATACAGTTAAGGTTCAACAAACTAACAGTTATTAGGTAGTTTTAAAATACAGTAAGGTTATATTATCATTTGATTGCAATAAACGCAATTACTAGCTATTAATTCGAAGACCATTTGATTGCACAATTCGAACAGCAGGGGGCTTTATGACCACATTTAAATACTTTCGGTGTATGACTTCATCATCCGTTATTTCATATAATTATGTACATACTAATATGTGATAATTTGTATCCGTTTTTTAACAAATATGGCACACGGATTTTTTTTAGGTACATTTGAAATACTTTGCCTCAATTCGTTTCAATAATTTTAAACAACACGTGCGTAAAGTTGCTCTGCCAATTCGTTAGGAGTTAGTGGTGGTCAATTCAGGCTCCTAAGTTTTAAGAGACGCCCGAGCACTTAGGTTTCCCCTAAAGGTTGGTTAAAACCCGTGACTAAAACGAAAATATCACTAAGGGTTACCCAACTTGTTCTAGGTGGCCCTTAAAATTTAGGGGATGCTGGTGAACACGGGCGTTAATGATAAGAAGAAGGCAGAAGAAGTGCACAATGTTAAAATTTATAAAAATATGTGCTATATAGATGAAAATTATGTAAAAACGACTACTTTTAACTGTAGGGGTTATATATATATTTCGGTCTGTCATCGTAGAATTGTCTATAACATGACAGCTCAAGCTATTCTGGTTAATGAAATAAAACAAGACAACCAAAATGGTTACCGCCTGGCGATGTCTTGCCTGCCACCGACTTTCAAAAAGAATCAGCAGTTGATTTTTTTAAATATGCTCACCTATATTTTCGATGTCTATGGATCGATTTTAAAAATTATTTTTTTTGTAAAACAGGTTGTTGTTCATATTAATGTTGTATTATATATATATATATATATATATATATATAATACAACATTAATATGAAAAAAATTTAAAAAGAAGGAGATTCTAATGCGGTTTGTTTTTGGATGTTTGTTCCTCTATCGGTTTTTTTTTATGTTAGGGCCAGACGAGCAGACCGTTCTCAACACACTACTCTTATCTTGCCAACAATCAACATCTTGACAACAATTGCAAAACAAAAACGAGTATATTTCTAGATTCTACACTATCTGATGCTAGTAGGCATATCTACACAAATACAAATAACATACAAACAACTTCTATTTAAACTTATCACAAATTAAATAATTAATCGGTCATTTTGAATAATGTCTATATTTATACCAATAACTGTAACACGCAACAACACACACCATTCTTCAACTACACAATGAAAGTGATTCCGAGAAGGGCACAAGATGTTTATGAAAATGTCACCAAATAGAACAAACGATTACTCGATAGTAAAGGAAAAAATATATACCCATACTGATAGAGATCGTATTGACTGCAACAATTTTATATATGCGATATAATTTCTAACTTTAGTCAGAATGGCGAATAGCACTATTTCTTTTTTTCCTCTTTTTAAAAAGACAACTCCCACACTAGGAATACATCCTGTGATGCGTACAAAGAACACCCAGACTCAGAACAACAATTTGAAGATCACAAAAAGTGTTGTCCCGTGTGGGGATCGGACCTACAACACTCAGCGCAGTAGGAAGCGGCAAGGTGACTGCTTAAACCACTACGCCATCCGTGCAGTCCGACATTGACAACCGAAAAATAATTGCAAAGATTTATTATATTATTAAACCTACCAAGGTGGAGCTGATATGAGTCCTTCCGCGTTCTGGCCAAAACCAGGAAAGATCAACTTTTATATTTATATATTTGAGAAATAAAGTAGAAAAACTACAATCGAGCTCTCATTTTTTTTAAATTTGAGATTATGCGCCTGTGTACTTATTGTTATAGGTTGTTTGGTTTGGTTGGTTTAATAGTTATTGGATAGTTACGGATATTTTGCTAAATTCGAGACTCGGATAGATTCGAGATCTTCACTTTAAATTACATTTAATTGATTTCGAGAATTAGGTAAATAGGTACACTAATAGACTAAGCAATTCTTTCGTTGCCTTTCACTGAGTGAGTGAGGTTACCGGAGCCCAAATCCCCCCTCCCGCTGACTCGAGCGGGAGGGACTACAAGGGCAGAAACGCACTTGTAACTTTTGAGTTTCAAGTGTCCATGGGCGGAGGTTGTTGCTTACCATCAGGTGACCCGTCTGCTCGTTTGCCCCCTTATACATAAAAAAAATAATACAAATAAAATAAAAAATATGTAAGACAGGACATTATACTTCTGACGTAGGTATACATACTAGGTACATAATAAGAGTCGAAAAAATTCGAGAGAATATTACATTTACAGTTATTGTGTACAGGCACTTTTTTTTAGTTACTCATTAAATCTATATTAATGGTCCATTGTCTTTAGTTAAGTAATATGTACCTATGTAGTTAAACCTTTCCTTTCAAACCCTATTTAATTCTAGAAAAGTAAAACACCTTGGCTTTGCACACTGCATGTTTGCTTCAAACTTTCTATCTATAAAAATACTGATTTTTATTTGGCTTGTTACAGGCAAAACGACCTAGACCTGATACGGCAACCGATGTATCAGATCGGTAAGTTATTTTTTATATTTTAATAATATAATATAATATATTGTACCACATACACACAACGCCATCTAGTCCCAAACTAAGCAGAGCTTGTACTATGGGTACTATACAACTGATATAAATACATATATACTTTTTTTTATGTAAATACATACATAATTATACATAGAAACACCCAGACCAAATAAAACATCAAATGTTCATGCACACAAATGTTTGACTTGAGCGGTAATCGAACCCGCGACCTTTGGAATAGCAGTCCGCTAAACAAACCACTACGCCATCCAGACGTCAAATTTTCAAACTTAAAACTATAAATAATTAGCCGGGTTAGCTTGAGACATGTTGCAACTTTACCAGGATCTACTAACCCGTATATAAAAAGTAAACGTTCTAACCGTAAAACGAAGGTACATGCAGCCTAAACAGTACTACCATGTGGATTAAACTCGCTTAACATGAACAATTTTAGAAATGATTAAATGCCGGATTACCTTATGACTTAATTACGAAAGGTGAGGCTACTCCATCGTCTAATAGAGCCGTTGATTACTTAAGGAGTCAAGTCATCATCATCACATCAACAGCTGTTACTAGTCCACTGCTAGACATAGGCCTCTCCTTAGAAAGGAGGTTTTGGCCTACTATACCACGCTGGCCAGACGGGTTGGTATAGGGTTTGTTTGCAGTTTTACTTCTCTCTGCAGCGCTGTTGTCATGCGTATTTTGCTTCCTTAGTCGCCTCTTACGAAACCCACGGGGGTGGTGACACTCTGTATTCTTAATCCATCACCACACCTACACAAGTAGTCACTTAAAATTCTACTTCAAGGATTTTTGTGCTCTTTTCTTTTTTAGACCTATATCTATGTATTTACAGTAAGGTCTTGTGCTCAAGTGCTATTTATGAATTAGAATGTACGTATTATGTTACTTTCTTTGTGAGTGCCTTTGTTATTTTGGAGATTTAAAATATAGGTAAAGTGGACTGTCACGATGAATTTTCAAATCGAACTCGTGTCAAAATCTAGCAATGCCAACAACTAAGCTATTTGAGTCGCCTTCTAGTAAGTTACTTAAAGTCTATTTACTTTACTTTAGGTAATGTAAATATACAAAAATTTTGTGATGGGTTGGATGTGATGGGAATTTTTTTAACATTGAATCCTATTTAATAAACATAAAGTTGACTTTTACCAAATATTTCAACTATAAGAAAATGTGACCATTAGTGGCCCTCACGAAATAGTACCTACGACATACGTCCCGTCCGACAGTTGAAAAGAATTAAATGAATGTACAATCGTAATGTTATATTTACAAGGGTTTGCATAAACACAAATACTGCAAGTATCACCTAATTTACTTCATAATCTTCACCCTCAACAACAACAAACAACCAAAAATTAATCAAACATATTTCAAAAGCACAATCATTCCACTCACACGGGCTCAAATTAAAGTTTAGATCAAAACGTTACACACCCGTCGATGGTACTTCAGAACACAATGCAAAGGGTCCTTAATCCCTCATAATCCGCCATTTTGTGTACACAATTGCCGTGAAAAGAGCTACTTAATAAAACTACCGACACGCCCCGCTCCACATTATCACGCGATGATCAAAGGAAGCAGAAAACACAATAGGTTTTATGTTACTTCATGATTTTGGGTCTGATAGATGCTGAGCAAGCTTTTTTTGCAAACATGTCTCTGGTTTTTTTTTTACTTTCTATAAAGCAGCAATTTTAAACTAGATGGTACTTTATTCAAGTAAGCTGATAAAAGTAGATAATAGGTAATATTTTTATATAGTTCACAGCGTTTCTAGATTAATCCTAAGCATTAGGTACTTTTACGATAATAATAATAGAAGTAATATACCAATCTGGTATAATGGTATCTAGTATAATACTATGTTTTGTACATCGGAAGGCCCTTTTCGGTAAAAGCACTTTCTTACAGGCAGAGACAGAATACATTTTGAAAATAAAGAAGAAACTCTTGAAAAGGGTGGCGGCTGTTTATAAAGCAATATTAAAGTAGAAATATTAATGGCAACTCTGAAATACGGAGGCCTCAATTCAAATTATTAGTATATTGCAATCAAGGCACGCCAAAAGATTCTTGTTTCAGTACTTGGTATAAAAGATTGTTAAATACTCGTAAAACCTGAAGCAACGAATAAACATCTCATGAATAATGACCATCTCTTCTCTGCGATGTGAGCTTTACAGTGAAAGATTTAAAATATAAATTAATTTGCCATTATTCTTCTCATAATCAACAACATGTCATATTATACTGATTGCAGATCAATCGAGCGTTTGATTTGAACAAAAATATAATTTTACAGACACCTGATGCCTTTACCACCCTTAGGTAATACTGATGTTAATGTTTGTTGAAGTAAATAGTCTAAAAGATTTCTCTATGAATTCTTAAAACAAAAACAAAAACATTTATGGATATCTAGTATCGTGAACATACAAAAAATAAATTAACGACGTTTGGAATTCAACTGGTCACATTCCGTTGCAGGCAGCATATTAGTTAGGTTAATTAGTGGTTAACATGACATTCCTTAACTTTTTAAACGTTGTCGAACATAACTGAACTAAAATAATGAATGGCTAAACTTAAACTATGTTTTGAACGGTATAAATCAATTTTTTGACACAATTTCGTTCCGTTATACGGTGTGTTTTTTAAGTATGACAAGCAGGATCTGAGATATCGTATGTCTTGACTGTGGGCTCGTTGATGTTTTGTTGTGATTTTTTATTAATATCCTGTGGTAAAAATAGGTTAAATGAATGCGCCTTACAGGAGTAAGTTTTGTGAGTTTTGTACGTATATTATTATACGTATTGGCGTTTGTACATCTTTCATATTTTCGACAAAAACTTAAACGTGTGATAGGTAAAATGGTTGAAATCAGCCGTCATTTTTTGAAGTCAATTTTCTTTTATTTGTGAAGTCAGCGGCAACCCAACACCCATTTGACTAAGTAGACCTTTGTTACAGCTATGTCTGACCGCTTAGAATAGACTATCCTAAGGCGACACTAAAGAAATCATTTCATTTTTATACTAATTTGAATAGTGATAATAGTTAGACTAATTTAAGATAAAAAAATATTTGCATGACGTGTACAATTAATAATGATTTTCTAAAAAATAGGCGTACTAAATTCACGAAATCATTTCTAGACGAATAGTAAATTTAAAAAAGTTATTTTTAACCCTTACATTATTCATTCGTACGTATGCCATCTGTTTATTTTTTACCGCGTAAAATTTAGCAGCTAAAAAAACAGCAATTAATAGATGTTTGACGTTTAACTTGACACGTGGTAACCAAATGGCGGTAAGGGCCTACTGGTTTCGGGGTCCTTAGACATGCCTACTAAAATACGTCTACTTATAATATTTATTTTTCGCTCTTCGGTCAATAATTTAATAACGTGCAAATTGTTGTTCTGAGTCTGGGTGTTCTTTGTGTCCGTTTCATGTATGTTTGTAAAGTCCCCCACGACACAGGATATATTCCTAATGCGGGAGTTGTCTTTAAAAGAGAAGAGAGAAAGAGAGAGAAGAAGAGAAGAGGAAAAGAGCTACACAGCATGTTAAAATTACTTTTAATTAATTTAATAATATATATACATATATATATATATATAACTTGATTTTTTTCTTTTATGAGTCAAAGCGACAACGCTTAATTAATTTTGTGTTATCGAGAGGCAGCCGCGGATTTTTACCTATTGTTTAACATAATACTTAATTATCTTTTGTATGGTTTATCAGCTTGAATCCATACTTAATAATATTAATAATCTAAGCCCGCAACGACCAAAAAGGGTAAAAATTATGCTACAGATTAATTTCCTACAAACTAAAGACGAAACGTCCATATAACGCAAATATTTGGAACAAAATATGCTTCATCATAATGCACAATTCACCAATCTTAAACTAAACACACACACAACATTCACACTCACATCACGCCTTGTCATAATCCGGTACGGAACCCTCGCAGCGAAACAAAGAGTTCTTTTTATCACTCGGAGTGTGCCATTCATTGTGCCCTTGTCAAAAGGGCACAGAGTCCTTATTGTTTCGTTCATAAACTTCAAGTATATGGGATTAGGAGACGATAAACGTCCTGTTATAATAAGGCGGTTCATTTCTGTATCTTTACGCTTGTATGAGATTATGGAGTAGGTAGCATTTGTAGAAGAGTGACAGTATTTAATATTATGTTTACAATTTAAAGTGATCTAATAATTCCGTAAAGTTTATATTATTATCTATAGAAGAATTCTCTTGATTGATACGTAAGGCAATTCAAAAATAATTATTGATGACTTTTATTCCGATATCAGCCACTATACCTACACCTATTTCCTGCTTCAATAGTTTATAGGCCAATATCTACTGACTTTGCTAATTGGCACTAAATGTCACAGTAGGTATGTAATTGTAGCTCTACTCTAGTTTTCTAGCTCTGCTTAGTTTGTAACTAGATTGCGTTGTGTGTCAGTTGTCCGAAATATTTATTTATTTATTTTATTTTTTCTTTCTTATATATATCTCTATCTATACTAGATGTCCGTGTGGTGACGGATTAAGAATACAAATTGTCACCACCCCAATTCATCCCGTGGGTGTCGTAAGATCCGACTAAGGGAGCAAACTAAGCAGGACAACAGCACTGCAAAGAGAAGGAATACTTGAAACAAACCCTATACCAACCCGTCTGGCCAGCGTGGTATAGTAGGCCAAAACCTCCTTTCTAAGGAGAGGCCTATGTCCAGCAGTGGACTAGTATAGGCTGTTGATGATGATGGTGTTGAAAGTGTCTGTTTGTAATGTGAAAATAATAGATTATTTGGAGGATACCTATGCCAGTTTAATTTTTTTTTGTCTGTCTGTTTGTTCGCGTAATCTTCTAAACGACTCTACTGATTTTGATAATATTTTACCACCAAGTAGCTG